TTTCTTGTTTGTCCTCACCGTTATCGCTGGTTTGACAGCATCAGCATTGGCAGCATCAATACCTGCCACTGGCAATGAACGTGACAGCGCTCACTGTCCTTTCCTCTGTCTCAGTGATGATAAATGCAAAGCCTGCAGTTACGGGAATAAATACGTGAGTATGAGTAGTTTGCATCCCGTATTTGACCACATGACTCACCAGCGCGGCAGGTCTTCCTTGGATGCGAATTTTGAGCTGCTGAGAGAAAAGTAATAGTGAAGCGGACTACACAACATCAGGTTGAATCAGTTTATTTGTCCTGCTCAAGTCTAATATGGAGGCGGAGTACAAAGAGTCGGCAAGTTGTGGTGAAGAATTGTTTGAAGATGTGTGTCGTGGATGCATGCACATAGTATACATCAATAATTAGTGTTATTTGAGGCGTATCGGTATCACCGTGTATGCAAACGGTCAAAGGATTAGACAAGTGCCTACTAATCAAGAACTCACCTTCAGGACGTCCTGTACACCGGAAATGCTTCTTGTAGACTCAACGAGTAAACACACTATGTATCCGGCTTTTAATGATGAGACTCCAGTATACGTATGTACGGCGTGCGCGACCTGTAAAAACAGGAGTGACGCTTTATCAGCTGTCTACGACATGGCGGCAGGAGAGGTGGTCTAGTACAATGTAGGTATTTTTTATAGATCAAGTATCCGAACTTCATCGAACTGGGCATTCCTGTACCCTTCCGACGAGTGCTAAGTCTTCGATCAGACAATGTCCATATTTGTGCATGAAACTCGAAATTGAAACCATTTTTCGCACGTGCCCCATAATCCAATGGATTTTCATGAGCGCCGGGTTCATTGAAATTATACAACCAGTGCTTAGTCCACACGAATTGCACTGTACAAGCGCCGCACGGCCCAATAAGATGCGAGGAATCCAATAGTCCCTTGACGAAACTGTTGAGTTCTACTGTCATGATCATAAGACATTTCTTACCGGTGACGATAAAGTCAAAAAGGCAGATCAAGAACAAATACCCGAGGTATAATGCGACGCTTGAAAGCGAGTGCAGTGAAAGTCGGGATAACCAGTAGAAGAGTCCGTAGGCCAAGATCCAAAATGCACTTCCACCGCCAGTCAAGAAAGCACGCCAATGCCACCTGCAGAGAGAATTGGTATAACAAATTACAAATAAACATACATCTACGTACCTGTACTCTTCAGCACAGAGGTTGAAATATATGAACAAGATTGTCACGGTGCCGGTGGTGAGTGCAACAACTCCTGCTGTTAGCGCAAGGAAACCAAATGCATAGTATGCTCGAGATGCGAAGAGGCTAGACATGACGAAATAAAGTTCCACGAACGCAGCCCCTACAACATTGACGAAGCTGTTGAGTAACGAGAGACTGAACTATCAGCTATATCTTACCAAATGGCAGGATCCCTGCGAGTAAAGCGGAGGCCTGCAACAAGGTTAAAAATCAAGTATACGTTGCTATCCGAGACTTACCCATGGTCGAAGGTGTCTGGGAGTTGGTGGGATCTGGCGGGGTATTTGATTAACCCTGACAGGATGTGACACGCCCTGAAACCAAATGAATTTCAACTGCATCAAACATGCAATACACGTACCCCTTGCCTTGACCCAATGTATGATCCAATCGAAGATAGCGGAGCAGAAATCCCAAACCAGAGAACAACGATCAAGAGCATGGTGGCTAGTGTAGGCGAAGGCCAGGTGAGCTCCAAGGTCGCCGACACGATCACTCGAACTTACAGAATGGAACGGCACCTGAGGAACCGGCAACGAGAAGGAAAAAGTTCAACAAAAAGATCACTATGAATACCAACCTAGCGAACGGGATCAGTCAATGAGCAATCAAAGTAATGCCGCAGACGAGGGGGCTCACGTCGGGAGGATGGTGGCTGTAAGGAATGCATTCTTTCTGTTATCAACACCACCAAGTGATACATATATTCTACTCGAATAATAACCTCCGATCCTGATATCTCTGCATAAGCAGCTGAGCGCTTCAGTATGAAAAAACGACTCACCCTCCAAAAAGGGTCCAGCACACCATCATGACAGTAGCAAGAGAACCTCGGTTTGAAGGTGAGAGAAAGCCCAGTAATGCGAAGACTATTGAGAGTTGATTTTAGACAGTAAATGGAGGTCTAAGACTTAAGAAGCTACCAAGGGTAACAGCGCACATGGCGCACAACTGAGCACCATTTCCTACCATAACGGAAAGCACCATTGGGTATCGGGGCGCACGGAAAACCTCTCCGTGTACGAGTTTCCAACCCCAGTCTTCTTGCACATCTTCCTGCATTTCATTTGACGTCAGAACAACCACGTATAAAGTGTCGATCACCCACACTAAGATCAATGGCATTGTATCTTGAAATCTGCATAGACGTCAGCTTGGATCATGTCAGTGAAGCTAACAATAATTACGTCTCTGGAGACAGTGCGCCACAGAATCATGGCTACCATGACGCAAAGGAAGACAACAATGACGATCGAATTGATGAGGCTGAACCAATGTATCCGGGGGTCAAAAATATGGAGATAGTTGTCCCATCGAGTGGCCTGTGAATAATTAGAAAGGCTCAGCCCATGTCTTGCCCGTCAAACGTACCCATGGTGTGTCAGATTCCTTAACGCAGGATGTTAGTCAGATATTCGCTGGGACCAGTCCCTTCGTAACAGACTTACGTCCCAAGTTACTCGGTAGGTATACCGTATATTGTTGATTTCATTCTCAGATAGACCCAACTTTGGAACTTCAATATCACAGTTCGGCGTACTTTCATCTTCTTGAGACCCGCCGCGGCTGCAACAAGGATGTAAGCAAAAGTAAATAATACACAAATTTTTTTGCGCACCTAGATGGCCATACCAGGACTCCAACGACGCGATAAACTCCAGGTGATGGCTCGTGATATCTGATGCAATGAGTTTGATGAACTTCAGTACTGATAGGTAGGCAGGCATACCTCAGAACAATCTCATAATGGTTGTTTAGGTAGGGAACATCGTCATCATCATTGCCGAGGTTGAATCCCATATCGAAGAAAAGGTCCCCAGTCTTCGTATCTCTCTTCATTTCCGCAGCCGGCAGACCATCCACCAGCCAGTTGAGGGCATATTCCTCACGGATTCGTTTGTTGATGAATTTAGCATCTTCTCCAGGTATTTCGGCGGTACACAGCATTTGGCAAGTACCATTAGCCTCCAGCATTTTGATCTGTTGAAGCGGTTTGAGTCTGCACATATGATTATCCAGCCATGACAACCTACATCATACGGAGACGTAAATATTCGGTCGCCGAATAGTATCGATCCTAATGACTCGGGCTGGCCCTTGGCACCCGACGGGGGTGTGCAGAAGTGAAATTGAGGATTGTAGTAGTCGTCTGTGATGCGTCAATGTTGTTACTAATTGCAATCCATAGGTGAGCTTCTCACAGTTTATGAGGGATTTCTAAAGACCAGTAAGCGCAGTCAAATCATAACATCATAGCGAACACATACCAGCTTTGAATTGTCACTTCCAGCAAGTATGGGAGTGAGCGCATTGACATAAACATCGACAGGATCGCGCTGCACATAGTTGTGGGGTGCTGCACCAGGAAGATAGAACGCGTTAGCAGCTGAGGGAACTAAAGCGAGTAGTGCGCTTCCCAGGAGACAGCTAGATTTAGTGCCTCTCATGGCAAAAAAAGAGCGCTTCAGGGTATTGGGGCGTTAGGGAGTGGTGTAAGTAGCAAGATACTATAGGGACACGACACTGGCAGTCACGTGACGGGATCATGTTGATAAATTATTTATTGGTGTCAAATTTACGTACATACTTTTGAAATCTGCAAGCAAGGATCTTCTATCTCTGAAGTTTGGACTTTGTTCCACCACCATCGCGTGTTCAGGCTATAGCAGAGCGCACCCTATACATTCAACCACCAGGTATGGGATGAGCGCGGAGACGTCAGATATGATAAAATCCCAGCACCAGAGTAGGATCCTGCAAAACTCGCATTCTCCAGAGAGCAGTGGAAGGCCGAAACAACTCAGACAGACTACTGTCAGCTGCGTCGGGCGCGCAAACCCAACTCCCCGGTGTCAGTAGCACTGCCGAATACGCCATCTTCACAGTTCGGAGTGACACGTATATGAAGAATCAAGCTTAATCAAGACTGCTACCCATCACTAATGCATTCTTTTTATCTCATGGACTGCAATTCACACTGTCACCTACCGTCCCAGCGTACACATCTCATGGTCAATCACATCTCAGTCCTCTTCTGACTCAGATGCTATCGAACTCTATTGAAATGCTGTTTTTCCATAAGCAGCACAGCCAGCTACTAGATGAGGCTCTTGAGTCTTCGGCTCTACCAGCAGGCATTTCGTCCCTGATCCGAAGATTCCGAACTGTCGTTTATTTGACAGAGACGAGCTAAGTAGACATACGGGCCGGTGGTTAGGGGTGGGGCATACTAAAATGACAAGACTGTGCTGTTGAACTCAGGTTGTGTGACCGTCAAGCGAGTTACAATAGCCTTCTAGTCATCGTATCAGCGAGTCCGCGTACTTAGACCAGAAAGGTCACAAGTCTTTCCTAGCCCGGCGACGCATTTAGAGATGTGTAACATAACAATCAAAAGGAGAAGGCGGTTGTTTGTTTCGCTCCAAAACTAAACAAAGGGCGGTGAGCGTGTAAAATGGAATCCATCATAGATCGATCAATTGCACTGATCAGCTGGCTAAATAACATATTGTCGAAGCTATGTGGACTCTCATCATATCAATCATGCATACGCGAGTACTGCGGGCCACATGATCTACTTACTGTTATTCATTGTAGCGTGTCCCTCGTTTAACGATGCGAAAACACTGTAATTCGTTGTTAAAGTGGAATCACAACTTAACCACAGCCATTTCCTTGATCTCCGGACAAACCGCATCACTGATATCTTCCCTGGAGCCAAGTTACGATCGTTTGACAAAACCATCATCGGCTCAACAGTGATAACCCGGGACCTGGGTCATCAATAAATACCCGCTGTTCTGGCAAGCATCCGCTCCCCTCTGATCTTCGTCTATTCTAACTCGATATGACCTCCCCACTTGAGATTGCACTACGTCTTCAGACTGTCAAAGTAAGTCATTTCAGCTTGGTACTAGACGAACGTTTTGGTCCTCATGAGTCCGACGCATCAGTATTTTAAGAGTACGTGACACAGAACTCCTATGATACGGCCGCCTGTCTAACATGCAATTATGAAAGTGGTAGGGTTAGCGGTCTTGGTAGGAAGTTGAGCATATGAATCAGAAATAATCGCTGACATCGGTGGCAGGTCTTTGACTACTGCATCAAACTAGAAGCAGAGGCGCGTGCTTCATCCGCTTAGCATGCTATCAAAGTTTCGATTGACACAGAGTACCAGATCAACCTCACTTGGGGGAGGAAGTGGAATTCTATTCGCATCATTTTCGCGGTGGCTCGGTACATGCCTTTTGTTAATGTCCCGGTAGACTTGATCTGTACGTGTCCGTTGTATCTACATCGTTGCATTGCTCAATTGACGATCAAGATTCCCTTGGACCCACATCACCACAGCTTGTGAGTTTCAATATTAGAGATAGGCTAAATTGCATTCATAGAAGTTTTATGCTAGTGCTTATCGCTCTACCAAGTCTCCTCATGTGAGTGCCCCTCCCATCCCTGATATCTGCATCTTCCACCTTATAACCCTGAATTAAAACACAAAGGGCTTAACATAATTGGCACCATTGCCGCAGAATGTAATGGATACCCCCTCAGCATTGTTTCAGTATAGTTCTCACCGGATATCCAGCACTCCTTTTCGTTAGGACGTACACGTTATGGGGAAGAAGCAGAGTATTACTTGTTGCCCTACTACTACTCGCGCTGGTAAAATTATTTTCGCAATCGGCGATATCCATCTCAGTCAAGACATTTCGCAGGGCTGCATTGCAGGATGCGGGGTGGTCGGTGCCAGCGCTTTATCTTTGTTCAAATGTATGTACGTTTCATTACAACCCTCCTTGGTGAGCCTCTAATCCAACGTGGCTATCATATAGACGAGGATCCCCCACTAGGAACTTCCGGCTGTTATCAAACCCAAAGAATTGCAATATACGCAGTTAACTACGCCTTGCTGGCTCTTTTTGAGACAGGTCTATTTTTGTTCTTTCTGTAGAATTACTAAAGCTGACCCTACATATAGTTATACTATCCCTCAATGTTTTTCAAGCCTGGCATCATCGACGACGACAGGGGAGCCGTCTCATTGCCCATCTGTACTGGGATGGTATAATTTATGTTCTGTATATACTAGGTGAGCAATTCTCGTCGTTGGATCCGGGATGATACTCAATAACTGCATAAGCAATGACAATGGCAAACATCGTAGTTATAGGGCTCCTTCCGGTAAGATATGCCCTTTTCAATTAGGTTTTGCTAATATTTTGGTGGAGTCGGAATATTCGGAGTCTATCAACACGTAGGTTTCACCCTCGAACATTCTGAATGTGTTTAATTATACTACTCAGACTCCAGGCGGTGTTTCATAGCGTTTTATCCTCTCGTCTTCTTTTCAACTTGCGAGCCATTATTCAACGACGACACGAGCAAACCATCGTCTCAGTTATGCAGACGGACCCTCAGTTCGGACGCAATATTCATTTGAAACAAATATCTCAACCCACATAATACCTTTAAAATCAGCTTTTGGAGAGTAATATAAGTACAATTGACATCTCGCTATCAAGGCGCTTGCAAAAACTCCGTGATCTTCTCTGTTATGAAGGCGACATCTGGCGGGTTGGCACTACCCCCTGCAACATGACCCCAGATCGATGGAATCACATGCAATTTAGCATCTGTGAGGTGCGACACTTCCGTTTCGCTGTCCTCCGGCTTTGATGGTGTCAGTAGCCGACTCGTAGTTGCTTGGTGGGGGACTGACCGGAAAGTAAAGATCCGTCTTCGAAGGCATAATAAGTCCCTTTGCTTTGATGCTCTTCAGAGCCTTCTCATAGTCTCCGCCATCACGAACGATGGAAATGTCTCCCTTCTGCCATGTGTTCAAAAGTGCGATCATGTCGTTTGCATCCCAGTTATTGACATATCCTCCTTCCCACCGCTCCCTGATGAACGAGTTCAAGTCCGGATACCTGTTCGCAAAGTTCCATAAAGAAGGCTCATGAACATGTATCGCGACATAGCTTACTCTCCGTCCATCAGGTACTTGTACTCCCGGAACCACTATAAAAGTCGTATTATCCTGATCTTTTATCGTGAGGTAACTCACAGTTTGCCCATAGGCCCACGCGCTGTAAACTCGACCAAACGCACGGATTCCGTGGTGAGGAGTGCTCTGATAATGACCGTCGGCAAAATCTTTGCTTGCTAACATCGCTGCTTTGGGCCCTTCCAGGAAGCTAGAGCGCAAGTCACACGTAGACCAAACAAGTTCAGACAAGAACCCACCATTGGTTATGGGGACTTGTGCGAGCAGACGAGCATATAGAAACAAATCGCTCTACAAAGTCAGGGAAGACGACTGGCCAGTGATATGCCTTGGGATAGGACCTAAGAGAGTGCATATGATATCCTAACGATGTGAATTACCTGTTGTCCGCCCATAGAAAATCCAACCACGCAGAAGACCTTGCGCACTCCAAGGTGCTTTGTCAAAACTGCGTACTGAGCACGACTTGTTGATGTCAGCCTGTATTCTACTTGCAAGTCATTTCATAACCTACATGTTATCTTCGTAAGAAACGAATGGGAAGTACGGGCCACCATAAGGTGCTGGCTAAGGGATTGTCAGAAAGAGGATAAAATGTGCAATGGTGGGAACTAACCGTATTAGAAGGAGAAGACGACTAGATTCTTTAGTCGGGGGAACGGCAGAGCAGAAGGCAGCGTACCTCTCCATTACAGAAAAGCGCGAATGTCACCACGAAGTATTTATTTGGGTCAAGGGCCTGTTGTCAAATTATGAAGATTGCGCATTCCAATACATGAATATACGTGCCTTGCCTTCCCCAACGAGGTAGTCTTGACCTGTGTGTGATTAGATGAACAACCACCTTCATGTTCGCAGCCAACAAAACATACTCCCAAGGGCGAGTTTTGCCCCATAACATGTCGGGAAAACAATCACTTTGTCATTGCTTGGGTCTCCGTATGTCCGGTATGCAGTCACAGCATCAGGGAGTATTCCTCCTGCTACTTTGAAGCGGCCGTGATGGTAATACTGGGTTGGTGTCTGCATGAGAGAGGACCTAAGGGGGAGAGATACTGTCCGTACAACGACCGCATGCTTTTATAGTACACGTGTATGGACTCATACAGACGGTCCGACACACAGTGTCCATGAGTGCTGATAAATGGCTGAGCTGGGTAATCGATCATATGGTCACGAACCACCTGAAGATATAAATAATGACATTCGAGGTTCCTCGGCATTGACGTTTGGTGTGAGCGGCGACCAAGAGTACTCGCCCATAACTGGCATGTGAGTGCATCATTTCGATGGATGGGTGGCCGTTATCTTGCTTGCAGTACTTATAAACAAACATTCGAGATCATTTTACAGTTGGAGATACAATGTGACTAAATCACACACTTCATTCACATGCATGGCTTTGGAGATGATTTCTGATGTAGAACTCAAGGTGCTTCCAAAAATTTCTTCACCTCTGCCTGGATGAACTCATCATCACGCACGTTTGACCCTCCTCCAGCTACAGAATATCAGCAAGGGACAGTTCAAAGCAAATCAAGCCCGATAAACTCACCCATATGGCCCCACTCAGAATCGATAATAACTAACTTTGCGTTGTTCAAGAATTTCATCTCATTCTGACTGTCCTCCGGCTATCCAAGAAGCCATCAACCCAAACACAGGTAACAAAGATGAAAGGACTCACAGGGAAGTACAGGTCTTTCTTACAAGGCATGATCAGACCCCTAGCCTTGATCGCTCCTAGACAGTCCGTGAAGTAACTTCCGCCACGGACGAGAGAAACATCCCCCATCTGCCATGTATTCAAGAGTGTCAATAAATCGTTGGCGTCCCACCCTTCTAGAAAACCGCCTTCCCAGTCCTCTCTTAAGAAGTCGTTGAGGTTCGTGTATCTAGTGGTCCTATTGAGAAAACAGAGAGCAGAATACAATAAATGGCGCACTTTCCGTCGAAGAGATAACCTTTCTTGGCAAACCACTGGGGTAATTTCAGTATGACAGTCAGCTAGAGGTGCGGAAGCTCACCGCCTGGCTATATGCCCATGCGCTGTATGCGCGGCCAAATGCCCGGATACCATACTGAGGAGTGCTCTTGTAGTGGCCATCCTGGAAGTCTTTTGAGGCTGAAAGAGCGGCTTTAGGACCTTCTAGGAAGCTGTGGTCGGATCAACACAGACGCAAATATAACTGGTGTCTAAAAGTACCATCGGTTGTGAGGGCTAGTTCGAGCAGATCCACAGATGGGGATGTATCTTGACCATAGTTAGAAAAAGAGTTTCTCAGTCGTCAAAACGTACCTTTCAAGGAAGTCGGGATACATGACAGACCAATAGTATGCCTGCGATGCCTCAGCAAAGCCATCGTCACTCTCTACAAATACGTTTACCTGTTGTGCGCCCATTGAAAATCCAATCACGCAGAACACTTTCTTGACACCAAGCTTCTGGGTGAGCACAGCGTACTGTGCCCGGCTGAACTATGTCGGCAACTTCGACAATCTAAGATGGAACAAACTTACATGTTGTCTTCGTATGTGATGGTAGGGAAGTAGGGACCGTTGTATGGTGCAGGCTATCGTCATTATGAATTTTTGTGCCAGACAGTGCTCTCAGGAAACTCACTGTGTTAGAGGGTGAAGAAGACTAAAGCAACAGGTGGAATGAGCATGAACACGCTATCTTTACATCATGTGGCATACCTCTCCATTGGAAAATAAGGCAAAGGTTACCACATAGTACTTACGCGGATCCAAAACCTATCGCTGGCGTCAGTTGGAAAACAAGATCAAGCTACATGACATTACCTTGTCTTCCCCTACCATGTAGCTTTGACCTAATAATCCATTTGCTAATTCAAGTTCCAGCCATCATAAAGGAAGCACTTTGGAAGACTCACTGTCAAGCTTTCCCCCATAACACGTAGGAAACACGATAACCGGATTCTTGGGGTCGCCGAATGTCTGGTATGCAGTGATGGCATCAGGCAGCACACCGCCTGCAACACGGAAACGCCCGTGGTGGTAGTATTGGATTTCAGCGACCTGGGACATGGTTAGGAGCGAGGGATATTGAATCCATCATCAGCGAATTGGCCGAACATATAGCATTCTCAGAATAGACACTCGGACGAACAGACCATGTGACAGGTTGGTGGGAATCGAAGAATATTAAGAATGTGGATGATAGGTATCAGTACTTGAGTTTTACACGACGAGGGGCACAGTTAGTACTGGGGGATCTTAATTTAGGGCATGACATGGGTGCCGTTTGCAAGGGTACCCGGGCGACACCTGCGGGTGCCGGTGAATCGTGGGTTGGGGTCACGAGTACCTGTGATTGGTTCCCCCGCGCGGGTAGTACGGGTAGCAGACTTAAATATGTGATAGTGCTGCGCGTCCTGAATGTCTGGTTTGAGATAGTCGTTCCTGGTTCGAGACGACTACGTAATGAATTATTATATTAACATTAATATTTGCTCACGTAATCAACAACACAATATCACGTGATTATGAGCCATACTGTGGCTGATAAACTGTAACAGTTATAATTAAGGTTTCGGGATGATGCCGAGCTGGTCCCCAGCACAAGTGGAAAGTTATCCTCGCCGTCCTCGTCGACTTCAAGAATGGGCTGTATGTCGCTCTCGTTATGATCACTAGTGGAATAACTATGTACTAATGGACTCTTCTATCAGCCAACAAACCTCGTGGACTTCAAGCCGCTCGCAAGCTTCGCAATGACCGCCGTGTAAACCGATGGGTTCGTGCTCGTAATCTCTTGAACATAACACGTCTGAGCTTGTATACTTTTCTCAATAGGCGGATAAGGCGTATAAGAAGCGCGCCCTCGGTAACGTTTACAAAACCTCCCCTACTGGAGGATCATCACATGCAAAGGGCATCGTCCTCGAGAAAGTCGGTGTCGAAGCCAAACAACCCAACTCTGCCATTCGTAAATGTGTTCGTGTACAACTTATCAAGAACGGCAAAAAGGTCACGGCTTTCGTGCCTGTGCGTGCTTTCATATTTGTATTTCGTGAGTTAACTAATACATCGATACAGAATGACGGTTGCTTGAACTTCGTTGATGAGAACGACGAAGTTCTTATCTCTGGTTTCGGTCGTAGTGGCAAGGCCAAAGGTGATATTCCTGGTGTGCGCTTCAAAGTAGTGAAGGTCTCAGGGGTCGGTCTTCTCGCTTTGTGGAAAGAGAAGAAGGTCGGTTTAATCATAATTATACTGCCATCATTATACTCATACTCTTTACAGGAAAAGCCCCGGTCATAAGCATCATTATCTTGTCCCTGTCATTTCATGTTATCGCATTACCTATGATTATGCCTGTGTCGCGCATGCAGCACGCCAATGAAAAGCCGAAACCACTATGTCACAGGGTTACGCCGCACGATTCTCCTGTCTCGTAAACTACCACGATAGTGTTGGACAATGTTATATGGCAGGCGTCGTCATCATTCGCCTGATATCCAAATGCATGTCATTTTGAAAATATTATCCACGGGAAGTTGTGAATTAAAATGTGTTAATCGTAATGAGTCTTGTCCGGTCATAAATGGGTGCATAATCATGCCAGCTCATACTATCGTGATGCCTTGACCTTGCATGTACTTCCTTAGGTCCTTCATCAACTCCAACTGCTCGTCAACGGTAAGCCCGCTAACAATCATCTGCAAGATAGAACCCACGCTGACGTGGTGTTCTCGAATAAGACTACTATAATAGACGTAGGTAAACACGCCCATGAGGAATCTAGTAATGGTGAATGTCTTAATAAAGTGCATTCGAGATTCAGAACTCACTGGCAGTCCATGCGATCGGTCATCCCCCCATGACCAGGGATGCTGTGGCCAAAATCCTTTATGTTGAAGGCGCGCTTAAAACCTGATGCGAAGAAACCTCCAAACGGTGCCACCAGTGATGCGAAAACTGCAAAAACCAGGAGATGCAGTTGGTATGGTGCATAGGGAATCGCGGTCACTGATCTTCCGAGCTGATGGTGACTTTGAGCAGTTGTACAAAACAACTTTAATTTTCACTCACGAGCCGCGAAAGAAATGCCGCGAGGGGTGACCAGATTTGCCAGACCTTCCAGACAAACACTGGGTTGGGTGTACACTGGACATTACTCCAGGCAGAGACTCCAAGATCATGCACAGGGCAGATCATGTAGTTGAAGCGCATGAAGTACGAGCCCCAGAACACACTGAACAGGAGGGTACTCCAGAAAGCACCTACAAACCCTTCGACAGTTTTCTTCGGCGAGAGCTTGATCAAGGGTGTGCGCCCGACCGACATGCCCCACACGTATGCAAATATATCATTGCAAATAACCAACGAGGCGGGGACCCAGAACCAAATCATACCCTCGAGGATGTTGTTAACGATGAAGTGACTGCGAGATTCCCTTTAGGATAGAATCTGAAAGCGGACGAGATCCATACCCAGAAACAACGATCAGCAGCAGGCTCATGTGAACCCAGCAGAAGAGGCCAAATTGCTGCTTGAGGAATCCACGTCTGAGAGACATGACGAAACCAACGAAGCCAATGGTATAAAGCGTAAAACTGATAATTCTGTGATTGGTAGCGAAGGGAAGTAGTTGACCGTCCGAGAATATAACATGCTGATTCCCAATTTAGCACATATAAGTATGGCTAAAATTATCCCGTACCTTGAAGTAGTAGATGATACTCTCCCCGTATAGAAAATAGTTGGTGACGGCAAAGAAGTACCAGTTTAGAGTCTTGCTCCATGGATCTTTCTTTCCCTTATTTTCTATCTCGCCAGATTCCGGGGCATGACTTTTGAGTGAAAATAGAGCAGTAACTTCGCGGTAGACAATCGTTTGACACAGCATGGCAAGCATGATCATATAAACGTGACCCATGAGTAGCAAGGCTACGCGATGGTCAGATACGATCATAACCTTCTTTTGGAAGTAGAAGCATGCATACCAACGAAACCTCCAATCATAATGAACGTCCATAATGTTCGCGTTAGGATGCTTTGTCGTTTCTTTGTGCGTTCGACTTCTTGCGCGTCGGGTTCACTTTTGAGTGCCTGTTCGACGTCAGGCTTTGAGACAGACTGTCCTTCATCGTCTAGCAACTTGCTCGGTAGATGATGCAGCGTAGAGTTGTCTGGATATTCCGTCAATTCCACTTATAGAGCACTAGGTAAAAGTCAAGATGCATACTTTCCGCGACATTCACGTGTTGTATATCGCCGTTAATAGCAGGCTCCGGAAGTGATGGCTCCGAAACCTGCGGCTGGGGCGCTGGCTCTTGTTGTGGCTCTGTGGTGGGCTTTGACTCGGAAGCAGTACATGTTGTAGGGAGAGTAGAGACATCTGCCGCTACCTCGGCCATACGCGCAATAGACTCTTCCAGAGAGGGTGTATGTCTAGGTGAATTATCCGCGGTACCTGCCTTTGAGGAGGCTCGGAGTTGTTTTCGCCTTTCGGTGCGAGCTTGTTTTTGAGCCTTCTTTATTTGAGATTTCGACGGCTTCGTATGCTCGGTACTAGATAGCCCAATGAGCAAGCTACGTAGGCGCTAGGTCACAAACATCGGTGAAGACGAACCTGGTCACCTGTGTCTGCGGCGTTTCTTCCTCTTGTTGTTCGTCCTCGAAGTCTTCCACGTCGTCGACGGTGAGAGCATCGAAGGCAGATCTAGAAACAAATGGTGGGTTCGCTGTTGTGCCAGAGGACCTACTCATGGTAGCAGACAGGGTAGCAGTTAAGGTTTGATGCGTGCAGTCTGCGCACTTCAAGTTCAAATGCAACACGTGAATGTGTCACGCTGAACCAAACATCGCTCATTTTTATTCGACAAAAATCTATGAATGCAATTATTACTTAGGTATGTACCTCCTATAAGCAGGGGGCAGGGTTAAGCCTAGATCGAATCTCTAGGGAATAATGATAGCAGTCCAAAAGCCCTTCGTAAAGCCCAAATACACCGAGGTCTGGCCATAAGGCATGGGCTAGAATTTCCAGGCGTCGTTGACTTCCATAGCCCAGGGAACTGAAATCAGTGTCAGTACAAGTTACTATGAAATACCCTCCACGCGAGCTCACATTTAGCGAGAAGTGTCTTTGAGAAGATCTTTTCGATCGGTACATTATGGACGCTGCACCATGCAGCTGTTATCCTAGATGACAGAATGAGTCGCTGTCCATGATTTATGATAGAGCTGGAAACTCACCGAGGGTCTAGGTAATTAATTTTACTGAAGGAGACAGTAAGAAAGTGTTACCTGAGCGTGAGCACGACATACCTTGTACCAAGAGCAACCTCTTTACCGGCCTCCCGATCGTCCATTTGAAGCTTGAAGGTCTTTATCTTCTCGTCCAGCTTCTGGACAGCTTCCTCAATCTTCTCGGGAGGACGATCCCTCTTAAGTTTGGCTTTCCCTGTGCCACGTTCCTTTGCAACTCTCTTGTATTCGGCTTCAGCGGTCTCAATCTTCTCCTGCAGGACTGAGTCGGGCTGAGGTTCATTGCCTTCCTGAACAAGCTTCTCGTTATCCTTGGCGAATTTCTTCTCCGCCTTCTCTATTTCCTTATTCTTAAGGGACTTCTCGTGGTCCTCTATCCAGTCGTCATCTAAATCGGACTCGTCATCGGCGTACTGCTTCTGCTTCTTGAATTTGGAATCCATGTTGAAGAGAACATGACGAAGCTTCATCCGATCATACTTTAGGGAACGAAGCTATTGGCGCTGTCAGTCACGGATCGCATCATAGGGAGTAAACGAACCCTATCGCGCATCTTGCCCATCGATTGTTCGTGAGTTTTCGGTGCGCTCCGTTGATGGTTACAAAGGATGGCTACCATGCGATTTGCATGATTATATGCATTCAGCTTCTCTTGGATAGTGGCATTCGCTGGCGTTCCTTCGTCCAACTGTTGTTGAAACGTGATGGATGCATTGTAAGTACGAAAAACCTTTGCAGTCAGTCCTTTCATATACGATGCCAGGTGCTTATTCAGGAGCGATGTCTAGGAGAGAACCGTCAGCGAAATGTTTAAGATTTTGAAGGGTGTTGTGTCACATTGACGCGGTCAAAGAGGTTGTCACTATCCTCTTTGTTGTCCTTGAATAGCTTGATATTCTTGAAAACCTGGGGATCCACAGAGACTCGATTGTAGTACCGGATCGAGTCCTTACCCAGGAAATCAAAGATAAGGAAATCCGGCGCTTCTAACGTGATGTGTTCACACCGCAGAGAGCAGCAGCCCACGGTGTCAGCCTCATCTTCACCCTTCTCATTTCCAGCTCGGAGAGCAAGCTTGTCGATGAAGTACATTGCCGTCGCACGCTGCCTATCTGCCATAACTTTGCTGCGCAGATCGGCAGAGTAGTCTTTGCGAATGCGGTCCACGTGGTTCTGGAGGAATGTCAGTTGATGGAGCATCGGAGTCAGCAGTTGATTGCACCTTCAATTCACGGGCTTTCTCGAACTTTTGCATGTCGCTCTGCCCCTTGAGGGAGCTGCCTGCAGCTAGGAAGACATATTTGTAATTGCCGTTGACATTCTCAACCCAGTTGGCCAGCCAGGTGACAGTTTGGTCGTGCACTATGGCTTTCCAATGTCCAGGCATATTGGGTACAGGGATAGGCGTTCCTTCACCAATATTGATGGTGATATCGTCCGGGCGTACACGGAACTGCCAGGATGTGAGCAAGTTTTGGATTTGTTCCAGATCCAAGTGCTAAGTGCCTACCTTCAACGCGCCCTTCTTCGGATGATCGCCCCGACCCCTGAACAAACCAGGAGGTTCAACTCTGAAGTTGCCTACCTTCTCCTTGCGACCGTCAAGGAGACAGGTGACGTATTTCTCTTCGAATTCGTCTTTCTGCTTCTTGAGCTCTTTCTTCTCTGCGGTACTGAGAGCCTTCTTTTTAGCTTTCTCCGCTTCAAAGTGTTCGAACATGGGCCGAAAATCGCAATCCTCAAATTGCGTGATCTTGATCTTATTGCGCTGGTTCACAGTTGAGCAGGGCAGAGGCACCAGATGTATGATACTTACAGGAGGATGGTCCTGAAGCACCTTCAACCAGTCTTCGAAGAAGTTCTTGTTGAACGTGGCATCTTGAGCGTGCTCAGTTTCCAACATAGCTGCGTAAAAACCGGCCACTTCTTCGGACTCTGATGGCAGATCTACTTCTTTACCTACAACGCAATCAACATACTTGTCACGGTAGAATGGATAAGGCGACCACGTACCCTTATATCTCATTTTCACATCCGAGGGCAAGGGTTCGTACGGTGGAGGAAAGATGACACCATTATGCTCTAGCGTTTGCCACTTCACTTCACCATCGTTATTCTGTTGAGCCTCCCACCACTTGTAGACTTCCTCCTCATCTTCCCCTTCATCTTTGACTTTGCCCTTTTTCTTGGGCTGGGGAGTCACCGATCCGTCTGCTCCATCCTTGACCTTCTTCGAAATAGCTCTCTTTTTCGTGGGCTTAGATTTTCCAGCGTCCTCCACCTCCGCATCGGTCTCCTCCTTGACTTTAGATTTTCGTTTCCTTGACACCTTCTCTTTCTTCACAGGTGTGGGCTCGTCTTCAGAAGCGGGAGGTTCGGAAGCATCTTGGTCCTCGCGTTTCAGTTTCTTCTGTGGGGGTCCTTTCTTGGTGGAAGCACGTTTCTTCTTAGCAGTGGTAGAACTACGTTTGTCATCGCTCTCAGTTTTGACTGTTTTATGCCTGTTTGCTGTAGAGGCTCTCGATGTCCCCGGCATCGGTATCGTAGCAGATTGCTTCACCGGAGAAGAAGCAAGAGGGGTATCATCATCTTCACTGGACGAATCAAGTGCAGCAGCTCGCTTGCGCCGCAAAGACTTTGCTGGAGTTACAGGTTCGGATTTTGGAGCCGTAACTCGGGACTGTGCAAATAGTCAACGATGCACGCAGTACATGGACAGGGGTACACGAACTAAAGGCATGTCCTCGTCCTCGCTCATGGGAGAATCACTAGCTTCCTCTTTAGCGTATCCATTCGCGCTGCTTCTGCCTGTGTTGGCCCTGCCATCGTTTTGGAGTGAACCAAGTGGTCGGTCGTCATCTGAAGACATATAGGCGTCGCTAGACATTATTTGAAGCGATAATTTGGCACGAATAGCAGAGAAGTGTCTATGTAGCAATACAGAGAATAAGAAAGCAAGAAGAACAGTGGAAATGAAGGACAGGAAGGCCTCTCCCGCGCTGTGGCAGCTGTTATTTTTCCGAAGTCTTGATGGACCGGCCCTAAGCCTAAAAATCACATGACCACCTGATCCTGAGTGGACTCGGAATCACAACTGAACAAGCCGAAAACAAACGGTTTCCTAATTTCTAACGGTTATCCAAGTAAGTTGAACATGTTATTCAATCACATTTCGAGCTTCATCTGTGGTTCAGTTATGTCCAATCCACCTTTGTTTCGTGACCCATGGGCGAAGAGGGAAGCGTGGCGGAAACACCCTGTGTTCACGAACCGTGCCATGTTTTCTAGCATGTTTCCAGGGCTTGGAATCGCACTAGTAGCGTTTACCGCATATGTGGTGGTTGATAATTTCTACTCCAAAGCGCAACCAGGGGCACAGCAGAAGCACTGAGTTGGTTCGAGTGATGCTGGTAAGTGACAGCAGTAAGTTGTCTGTGTGTGCATTCACGTTTAACTCCCTGATAGAAAGGAATTTATTGTTACTCTTTGCATCCTATCATTTGGTTGAGTCCGCGCTCAGTAGCATAGTGTTTACCGCATTGCACACACAACGTCGCATTTTCGCGCTATTATCACGGTCATTGCCACGCAGCAGGGCTGATCTGCCAATTCGTGCATTCTGTCCCCCCTTGTTAGACTTGCTTCTACAAGCAACAGCGATAGCTATTCCTAAGCAATCAGGCTGAGTGTTGAGCCATTCGCATTGCCGATTGTACTTTCCTAACGGTGCCATTTTTCTTCACTTTGAATATCTCTCCTAAACTGCCTCGCACACATGTCTTGAATATACGACCATCATTCCTGTTCCTCGACGTATTTCTAGGACTCCCCACCGCTTTGTGGAAGTGGTATCCTCGTTCGACAATAACTGATTCGCCTGGTTTAAACATTACAGCATCACATCCCTATTCCCCATCTCTGCGGTAGTCCCTTGAGTGAGATCAGGTGTACTTGCTAACCAGAAACTAGTACAGGTCGTTCTTGTTCATCTTACAATGCGTTTGCTTTTGGACGGGAGTCGACCGAGTATTATTTATGACGCAATGTATGGAAACGTGCCAATGGCTTACATACTACACGAGCGATGTATCATCTTCTGTGGAATGCTTATCGGAGCGCAGGAGCATCACTGATTCGCAAGTAAGGTGACAGTTGCAGCCTTTTGATTCAGATGTCATCGTTGGTATGTCCCGCTCCAACACTTCTCAACAGCTACAGCTGTGGGCTAGTGAATGGAAGAATTCAGAGACAGTCCCTTGCGCGAAAAGTTGGCGTCCCGTTCCTCGTAAAAAGGAAGAACGGTTATCTTCCTCCCATGGGTAGTCTGCTTAGGGGAGACCAACGCGCCTGGGAGACGTTTGCCACTTTTGTCTGCGGATCGTAATTTTTGGTTTACCTGTAGGTTGGACCATTATTAGTCGCAATCACGGAGGTACGTAAACAGCACCGAGTAGTCATCGACCACCGCTGAGATGAAATATATTTGTCATGTGAAGGTCGGACTCCAAAGACATTAATGGCCCAATCTTTGGCTAGATCGACCTAAGCTTGCCTTTCTTGGTCGAAATGGTTCATGATATATGTTCGCTTCGGGAACTTCGGACCTTCAGTGATAGCATACGAGTGTCCGCCAAGGTCGGTGACTCGTGAGGCTATCATACTTACCAATGTCACTCAAATTTTCCTGTTCAGTGTCGTCAGCCGGAAGTAATTTCAATGGGCCATGCTCACATCTCCATTAAATATCCGACGCCGTCAGACAGAATGGAAGAACTCAAGCAGCGGAAGGGGCACCGTATTCGCAAAGTGGTCAATGATGAACCCCGTGAAGTTGCAGGGTCGATTGGTGGATCAGGGCATCCTCGCCGGCACCTTCCCCTTCAGATCTGGAAATCGTGGCAGCAGATAGAAATCCCTGATCTTTGGAGCATGATATTCCAGTCCCTTTGACTAGCGAAGCGTGGTTCCTTCTTTCACTGGGATAACAGAAGCAACGAATTATCAGCTCGGTGAAGTGTTTCCATCATATTTTGTTCTTCTACACCGACCTACTGTATGCGATGGTAGATACAAATGCCTCAGGTTGTGGTCTATGTCGGAGTCCGAAGGATCCGAACCAGGACTCCAATCTGAGTGGATGATCGGCTGCGAGCACAACCAAAAGGGGGGCGAGCGGCAAACCTAGACGAGCGCTCGGAGTGAGCGATGTTTTAACATCGGCTCGTGCTCGTCTATGTTGAAATTTTTATTTCCCTCGATACGCATATTCTTTTTGTCTCTACGCTAATATGTATGAGGCTACGAGTAAATTAGTACGAGTATCTCAGCTCCTTCCTGAGATGTGAGCTGTTGTTATTTTTCCCGTTCTTATGGTTTGCTGACAGTCAGTAGATATATTGTTTTCTACTAGGTACATAACTCGTACAATGAGTTCCTTCCCGAGACGGAGACATAACTAGCGCTTCGTGTCCCCCGCTCCACAATTGAACGCTCAGCATATAGTGACAGCACGTAAAACGCCGTGACTCTCCCGCGGTCCTAGACCCCCGACCAAAAAAATGATACTTGTATGTAAGATCTCTGCTTCGGATTGTGAATCTGCAGAGGTTTGCTAATGTCACGGTTAGGCACAGAGCAGCTTACTACTTCGGTCTTGGACTGTCTCCAAGCATTCAAATAGCCATCTGTGGAGGAATATATGCTCCATCGTGCCCCGTTTGCCATTTTTACCTGCGACACCTAACTGATCCTGATGTCATCTACCTCAAATTACACCACTCTCATCTTCGACATTGGTGATGTTTTGTTCTCTTGGTCACCGCAGACCAAAACCTCCATATCCCCAAACGCTCTGCGTAAAATTCTTTCCTCTCCCACATGGATTGACTACGAGAGGGGGAGGATGTCTCAGACTGAGTGTTATGCTAGGGTCGGCGGCGAATTCTCTGTAGACCCTACAGAGATTAGTCGTGCGTTCCAAGATGCTCGTGACTCTCTGCAGTCCAACGAAGAGCTCATATCGGTTATTCGACACCTCAAAACACGTTCGGACGGGATGTTACATGTCTTTGCCATGTCAAATATTTCTGCGCCTGACTATGAAGTTCTTCGTACAAAGCCTGCTGATTGGTCGTTGTTCGACGGCATCTTCACCTCTGCTGGCGTGGGCGAGCGGAAGCCCAACCTTGGCTTCTACAAGGCAGTGATTTCGGGCACAGGGGCTGACCCCTCCCGCACCATTTTTGTAGACGATAAAATGGAGAACGTCCTCTCCGCGCGTTCGCTTGGAATGCATGGTATTGTTTTCGACGATCACCGTAAAGTCGTCCGCGCGCTTTACAACCTACTTGGAGATCCTGTCGAAAGGGGCAGACAATACTTGACCGTGAATGCGAAGAAACTCCTATCTGAAACTGACAACGGCATTTTCTTACGGGAGAACTTCGCTCAGCTCCTGATACTGGAGGCGACTGATAACCGGTAAGAGGTTTACCTTTCTTTCCCTGCACTCATCGAACAGCATGTCAGGAATCTCGTCAATTTGACTGATACGCATCGGACGTGGAATTTCTTCCAGGGTATGTACCAAATGTTTGCCACCATTATTTAGCAGTTGATTTAGTATCAGGCAAACCATTGCTTACTACTGAAGAGTTTCCCTTTGACCTGGATACCACGTCCCTTGGGTTGACCGTAATGGGCAGCCCTGAGGACTTGGCACACTCCGTCATGGATGACATGCTTGACTACATTGATGACGATGGGATTATTCAGGTACGTGCGTTTAGTTATTCTTTCCCATGCATTGGCCAACCTTCCAGTAATCACAGACATACTTTGACCACCGCCGACCTCGGTTTGATCCGGTCGTGTGCGTCAACGCGCTCACATTGTTCTATTCTTATGGACGTGGCCATCAGCTTGATCGCACCCTTCACTGGATACGCGAGGTACTCCTGCATAGAGCTTATCTCGACGGTACACGATATTACGCGACTCCGGAGTGCTTTCTTTATTTCCTTGGCCGACTTCTTGGAATCAGCAACGACGTCTACTTGGCAGCATATATAAAGCCGCTACTGATCGAACGTGTTCAGGAGCGCATAGGGGCTGATGGTGACGCTCTAGCGCTCTCCATGCGCCTCCGGCTTTGTGCCTACCTTGGAGTACGCAACGACGTTGATCTTCGTACTTTGCTTCCTCTGCAATGTGAAGATGGAGGCTGGGAAATCGGGTGGATCTATAAATACGGGTCTTCCGGTATTAGAATCGGAAACCGCGGTCTTACCACATCCCTGGCCATGAAAGCCATTCTGGAGATGCAAGAACGCTTCCCTAGTCCCCCTTCGTCCTCTTCTGCAGTACCCACGGTTCCCTCGTTAAGCAGGCTTATACCACTGCACAATCTCCTCCTGAGCGCTTTTTGTAGCGCAAGAGCAACTCTTCAACCACTCCCGGCTCTATTGCAGCGAGCTAATCGGCCAGTACTAGGCAACGCCCGTAAATTATTTCATTGGTTCTAAGATGATTGAAGAAATCACAACAAACTGCGGATGAGACAGGGTTCTGACGACAGATTTTCCACCGTGGTTCGCGGCGCTCTTTTCTTTTTCTCACTGTGCAATATTTGCGACACTTTCAAAAAACGAATATATACCAGTACTACTGTGCCTTTCTGTGACATTTGTTATCCTTGAGCAGAATCCTACGCACTTACAGCAATTCTAGACTTTCGTTGTGAAGTCTAGACCCTTCAAGCATGGCGTAACCGTCCCATGTTATCAAGATCCTCATATGACTTCCAGAGATGTCGTGCGACAGGATTCTACTGACATCGACTCAATCAAGCAATCATACGCGCGAAGTTTCGGCTTATACTTGACCCTTCACGCGAAGACAGGACTTCCCAGCACTGAGCGACCTTTCTGATTTGGACCACCCTCAAAAACAGAGATCAGGGGTAGGAAGTTCACTGACGGTCACTATAGAACATCATAGAATATCCCACTGCGGCTCATCTTTGATCTCCCACAAGCGTACACCCTCAAGCGTCATTTAATTGATATTCGGATCAAACCAATACCGACAGAAACTGTATGCCTGCCGACGTACCCACGCTCAATTCGGACATAGATCCTATGCAGATCCATTCAGGGTAACCTGTCCTGCAAGACACCGCTTGTATACTTCGTTGTCAGTTTCCTCCACATAGTGATATCCCAACTGGCCTAAAAACTCGTCGAATGCCGCGTAATCTTCTTGCGGAACTTGGATGGCCGTTAGCACTCTGCCAAGGTCTACAACAAATTTATGAGGTAACAAAAGACGACAAAGACATTGCACGAACCTGCGCCATGATTGCGGTAGTGGAACATTGATATATTCCAGCCTAGTCCAGGATAAATACCCTGAAGGAACTTGCGCAGGGCGCCTGGTCGTTCAGGAAATTCTGGAGGAAATTCTGGTAAGCACAGCGCGAAGTGGAAATATCAAATATAAGAATGCCTACCAAACCGGAACACTCTTTCGTTTGGAAGCGTTGTGCATCCACGTATCATATACCGCGCGTGAGACTTAGCCACTTCATCATCGCTAACATCATATCCAGTCATCCCTTGATTTTTGATTTCTTCAAGCACCTTCTCCACTTCTTTTGTGCGAAATGAGGTATCTAGCTTGAATGAAAGGAATATATGTGCGGTGTTTGGATTGTTGTAACGGTATATGAACTCTGTTGTTGCCCGCGGGTGGATGATGGATTGTAATGCGAAAAAGCTGCATAGGCACAAGGAGAAAAGTCAACCAATGAATAACAGATGCAAGGGACGGAATGTGATGACTTAGAATGAAGAACCTACCTTCCAGGCTTCTCTGGTATCACCACGCTCAGAAGTGCTTCGCGTCCCTCACCCAATTCTGCACGCTCTGCGACGAAACGCAGTCTGTCAAAGTTCATGTTGGCTCCACTGACAACGGCAACGAATTTTCGGTTCGCGCCGATAAGATTTTGATTTGCGATGTGTCGCTTTAAGCCTGCTAGACTCAAGGCTCCGGAAGGCTCTGTAACAGACCTAGTTTCTAGATTTATGAGTAAGGTAAATTTTCTACAAGGAATAAAAGACCCCCTACCTTCGAAGATATCTTTGATAGCGGCGCATATTTCATCGTTGTCAACTAGGACTACGTCATCCAAGAGTTTCTGGCATATCCTGAATGGCTCCTCGCCTACGATTCTTACTGCTGTGCCGTCTGCAAAGGGGCCGACCTCGGCTAGAGTCACTCTCGCCCCTTTCTTCAGGACTCTGTGACATGGCATCCCCATCAAAGGTCTCGACACCATGCACTTTTGTGTTTGGGTTGCCTATGCGTTTAACATATTCACAAATTCCAGAGACAAGACCGCCGCCGCCAATCGCACCAAATATGGCATCGAGATTGTCAGAGTCTGGTATTTGTTTTAATATTTCCATGCCAACCGTACCCTGACCGGCGATTACAAGCGGGTCGTCGTATGGTGGGACAAATACCAGTCCATGAGTGGCAGCTAATCTTGCACATTCTGCCTTTGCTTCGTCGAAGTCAACACCGTGGAGCACGACCTTTGCGCCGAGACGCTCGACATTGCGAACTTTGATAGACGGAGTACCCTTTGGCATCACAATGGTACAGGGTATCCCGAGACGTTCGCCAGAAAGGGCTACTCCTTGCGCATGATTACCTAAAAGCGCCAAATCAGCGATTTGGACGGGGATATCATAAGATGACACGTCGCAAGTACGCACACTAACCAGCGCTGCATGTTACAACACCTTTCCATCGTTCTTCCTCAGATAATCCTGCCATGAAGTTATAGGCACCTCGAATTTTGAAGCTGAAAACCTCTTGCAGATCCTCTCGTTTCAGCCATATCTGATTACCTAGTTTTGCACTAAGGTTTGGGGCGTAGACCAGGGGTGTTTCCTTCAAGATCTCATATACTTTCGAAGTGAGAATAAGACGAAGGTAATCGGGTTCATTCGAAGATAGTAAGTGATGTGCAGACAAGCGCGGATAGCTGATAGGCTGAGGCGCGTTAGAAGAGTACTCTAGAGTTGCGATAAGCTGGTGCCATGGTTATAAGAACTTGAAGACATACATCTACGCGCGAACGAAAACCTTTTATGTAACCGACGGCGAAAATGACTCGGTGCTTGCCGGAACAACTTGAAACCGCCGCGTGCACTGTGGTACTAATTAACTAGTAGTAGTCCGATGGAGTATAGCTTCATATACTATATGGGTTTCATGCTATCAGCCAGCTGAACTCCATGGCGCGTAAAACCCATATAAGCTGGTACAAAAACGCGAAAATGACACGTGCGTCGTACACCCGTGGACAGATCACGTGCGCGAGATATCATGACGGGGTATATGGGGAGTACTGCAAAGACAAGTACTAATGTCAATTCGACTTGCAACATATTCATTCAGTCTGAGGATTAATATTAGCTAGTCGTTAGAAAGATAGAGACTAAGAACGCACCAAGTGTAGTCTTATAATACCCAATCCGAATTGAACGACCACCATACCTGACAAAGACCTAAACGGCCTTCAGCCATCATTCTTTCTATTAGCTGCGGTGGAAAACTGGGTGAAGTAAGATAGAAGAAGGAAGAAAGAATTGAAGTGATGAAAAGAATTGAACGATTGTGCAGAGAAGAGTCTGAAGATAACAAGTATGCTGCCAGCCCTAAATAAATGTAAAGTCAAACTATACTCAGATCCACCACAAGCTTGCCAAACAAATTCTTCCCCTCTCCCTGCTCACCACCAGTTTATGGCCCAGTCGTCAACAATGGGACCACCTCTCTCACCACGAGAAACACGACGTTCAGGAAGACGTTCTGCTCCATCTGCTTCAGCCAGTACTTCCAAATCTCCAGACTCACCGGCCTCTGAGTCCCTCCCTCGAACAAAGGAGCCCATCACACGTCCTGCCATACTTTCCAACAGCAACAACAACCGCACAAAGCGTCTGAAGCAAGAGGATCCCGAAGAGCCTGTCCCTACTAAGAACGCTCATACTAATGGTACCAACTCCACCCATGGGAACTCAAACGGGCGCGCAAAGCGCAAGGCCAATGGCAAGGAGAAAAACCTGACATCCACCGACCAGTTAATCGAATCAGCTTCCACTAAACTCAGTAACTCTAATACTGGAAGCGCCGCAGACCCTCAGGACGATGACCCAGAAGAACAGGGCATCACGCGCTGTATATGTGGCCAGAATGGTATGTTATCTTCGATTACATATCAATCATTTTCTCACTTTTTCGACAGAGGAAGATGCCGATGCAGGAGAGTTCATGGTCCAGTGTGAAACCTGCAATGTCTGGCAGCATGGCCTGTGCATGGGGTACCAGCACGAAGCAGATCTCCAGGACGAATACCACTGTGAACAATGCAAGCCTGAGCGCCACCAGGACCTTCTGAAGTAAGCTGTTTTTGACTCCGTGTTCACTATCTTGTTTTGACTAGTTTCATTTCCATAGGAGATTAGCCAAAAAACCTCGCCAGTCATCTGCCAACTCACACCAGACTGCTTCGCGTCTGTCACGATCACACTCTCCAACACACCTTTTGAAACCACCCAAACGAAGGAACACGATGAACAGCCGCGACGCGGCGTTTGACGAGAGCTTAAAAGAGATCATTGAAGCGACGGCAGCAGAAGCTGCAGCCGCGACAGAACCACATCCCGCTCAGACAAATGGAAGTGTCAATGGTCAGGCTGAAAGCCACGAAGATCAAGATTCGAACAGTCGCAAAAAGCGCAAGCGTACAGAGGATGACATGTTAGTATTCCTGCTATATTCATGTATTTTTGTTTGTCTGACGTCATAACTCAGTATGCCCAAGAAACGTACACGATCGGCCTCGACTGCCTCTGATCATCAGCCAGAAGTAGTTACAGTCGTGCCAGAGGAGATACCAGCTCCTCCAGCCAAAAAGGCAGGTGGTGGCGCGAAGTCCGGCAACCGCAATCGAAGAGGTGGTGGGTCGCGGAAGACAGCAGTTGTTAATCAAGATGCAGTCGCTACCGTTGAAGGTGAAGAAGGTATGTCAGTAGCAATTCAGTGACAAGGATAAAACTCACGTGACTTAATGAAATTCAAGTTGCCGGTCCCAGTAAGCGACCTATGGCAAGCGTCCGGAACAAAACAAACCCCACACCCAAAAGGCCACCTCCATCTTCTCACGCTGGGAGCGTGCCAGGTGACCCTACTAGGCGCGCCGGTGGAGCCACAGTTGCCAGTTCAGAGAACTCTCGCGCATACCGCAATTCCCATGCTTATGCTGTCTCGCAACAACCAATGTTTACGTCATGGAATTTACCAGACTATCTTGCCCACCTGGAACCTATGCTGCCGACAGACACCCCCCGTCCCTTGGAAGTTCGTGGTTCGGGCATCGGGCCCAGGGAGTCGGTCGACCGGACCATGGAGAGGGGTGTGAAGGTCAAATGGCCCAGTAAACGAATGAGCGTGGGGGATATGAACAAGCGTGTACGCGCATTGGTGGAGTGGGTGGGAAGGGAACAAGCCGGAGCGCTTGACCGCGGGCGTCGGAGGGATGCACTGGAGAAGGCGCTGAAGGCATTGAAAGCACAGGCTTCAAATTCGACAAATCCCTCACCTCATGATGATCGTGAGGTCGGTGGAGGAGACACCATGATTTTGGACAGTACCGCCACTATCTCTGTTGACGGGTCCTCGGATACCGGTTATGGGAATGCGTCAGCGCCATCGACGATGAAGATGATGGAGGAGTTGATGGAAGAACTGATAAACTTCCAGGAGCGGTTTGGTCCGGGCGTGAAGACGAGGGAGCGGGAACGAAGAATGGTGTCAGGATAATCACGGACTTGGTGTTAATCTTCAATGTACCCCTCCCATCACGCATCACTACTTCCTGACCACTTCACTAGCATATCTTTGTATTATTGTGATATGGTACCGACTCTTGCATCCAGTGTCGCGAGTTCTCCAACACGCTCTGCCCTGAGGAAACCATGTGTTGATATCCTATATCGAGGATGCTATATTTATATACCCGGGTACTTGACGTGATATACAACGAAAAGTTAACGATACTTGGTGGAATTCCTCAATTGCAAACCGTATATACTGAGCTCGGCACTTGTAGAGCACTTCATGACGTCTTATGTAAATATTTAAGTTAGTATCAAAGATCTTATAATACAAAGTGCAACAATGAGAAAAAGTACGATAAGTCCTCGCTGAGCTTAACCCAGCTGCTCTCGGTACTTGCGAATTGAGGAAAGCAGAGCATGCATGTGCATGAGTGCTGAATTCCACTGGTTGCATGCACGTGATACTTACCGATAAATCAAACTACCTAATCGGAACGGAGAAATCGCACGCAGGTCACTGCTGCGTACGACGTCCGCGACCATCGAACGTTAGGCGTCGATGTCATCAGCATCGGAACATTCGGCCAACAACAAGGAATTTTTGGCGCTCCATCTCGACCTTGGACAGTTGCCGACGTTCTCCGGCAATGAAGAGGAAGTAGAAGATGATCAAGTAGGAGACTACACCACACGAATGGAGGAATTGCTCAGCGACGGTGACGATGGGCATGGCGATGCAGAAACGCATGAAGATGATGGCGGCTTCGTCTATGACGGTGTAGACGCTGATCAGGTCACAGGTGACAACTATCGAGACCAACTGCGAGACGTTCTCGGGCCTGAAGATTCATATGATGAATCTGAGGAACAGGAGGTAGAGCAGGCGCTTTTGCAGGAAAGCAGTAGTGCTTCCGATAACCTGCCTCGTGATGTTCCAGTAAGCCGTGGCACGCCTCATGGCCTAGACATGTACTCATGCATGTGCAGCGTGTTGATATTCAGTTGGACGTCAGCGCTTCAACATCCGCCTCCTTAGTTATGTCTTCTCTCCCACATAGCAGAGTAGGGTCTCCTGCGCCGAATGGGCCCTTCTTACAATTTCCCAAGCCATTCCTACACCCAAATGTTTCCCGACTTCGCTCCTTTACGCCAAAGGGCTCCCCTGCTCCCAGCACTGGATCGCCTCATGCTCAAGATATAAATAGTTTCTCCCCATCTCCATCTCATTTTTCAGAGATTTCGCGGACATCGTCTCCTTCAACGGGCATCAATGGACTTCTGATAGGCCAGGAGAGAGAAGTGTTTCGTTGGTCATCACTCCGGAGTGCAGGGTCTCGTCTCTACGACCAGAAACCTGCAAAGGCATCGAGTGTCCTCGGGGATCCTATTACGGGAGCTCCCATGGTCCTGGCTGCCAATGGGTTTATCTGCGTTGGGACAGACAAGGGGCGCATATTCGTTTTCGATTTTAAGCAAACATTGAAGTGTATATGCGGTAGTGACTCGTCGGGTAACTTTCAACCTGTTGAACCGACATTGATCATCTAATCAACCCCATTCAGGATCAGCTTTGGGGCCTGTCTCTGCGGTCGCGCTATCAAACGACCATACGTTTGTCGCATCTGGACATACTACGGGCTACATCCAACTTTTCGACTTGAAAAACCCCGAGGTCGCAGCTCGGACCGTGACACCTGTTACTCTTGCCGCTGTCACGTCTGGCCGACAGGAAGGACATCTTCCAGGCTCCCGTATCATCAACATATCATTCGTGGCTGGCCGTCATACAGCTGTGGTCTCCGCTGATGAGCACGGCCTGTCTTTTTATCACAGCCTTGGCAAAGTCCTATTTGTGGAGGCATCAGACACGATACGCGTTTTCGGGAACTATCATGGAGAGGATGCACCCGAAGCTAGTATCTCTGGTCATCCCGCAGACCCACTTTCCCAACAGAATGCACTTGATCGCCCTTCCTTTCGCCGCAGACGACCACGTAATACAATCCTGACAATGAGCACTCTTCCCCTGGGACCTCTTCCACATCCCACCGATGCATATCAGATTGCTACCTTGCTCACGCCCACAAAACTCGTTGTCGTGGGCCTGAAGCCTACTCCGAAGACATGGCTGAAAATTATGCGAGATGAGGAACAATTGTCTTCCCCCGCTTATCGAAGGAGAGGATGTCTTGCATGGTTCCCTAGCGTCCAAGATAGTTCTACAGAGAAATCGGACAAAAGAGTTTTGAAGAACGCAAAGAGCGGAAAACGACCACGACCCACGCCAACTCATCCTATCCTCTCGTATTCGTGGGGGAGTCACGTATATCTCTTACGTGTACATGAACAGAAGATCAAACAGACCGTGCCCAACAGCCGCACAGGAAATACGAGCGAAATAGAAGTTGGCACGCTGGTGTTCGAAGAGTCGGGAAAATGGACGATGGATGACGCCGTGCTTGCTATCCAATGGCTTAATATCAATGTAAGTTCGTTCCAATGTAACATATTAATTCTCATGCTCCTTTTTTGACAGCAAATAGCCATATTTACTGCGAGTGCCTTGAGTATTTATGACATACGTAGCATGAAAATGGTTGAAGCCGTCCGATTCGACTCTTCTTCTCTGGTATCGCCTTCGCTGGGCTTCACG